CCCCAAAGCCCAAGCCCAAAGCCTTCGCCGTCCCCCAACGGCTAACCCAAGATGAGATGCTCGTTCTTCCCACCGGACCACGTGAGCGAACCGCCGAGGAGCTCGAAAGACCTCGCCTTGGTGGTGGGTTCCGAAACTATGGCGGCGGCGGCGCGAATGATAATTCTAGGGTTAGGGTTTCTGACAGGAGTTCTAGTAGAGATAGGGATATGGGCCCTTCTCGGGCCGACGAAGCGGATGATTGGTCCAAGACGAAGAAGTTTAGTTCTTTCGGTGGTGGTGCGCCGGAGAGGTCTGATAGGAGAGAGAAAGTTGGGTTCTTCAATTCAAGTCGGGCTGATGAGGTTGATAATTGGGCCTCTAATAAGAGTTTTGTTGCTGCCCCTGTTGATGGGCCTAGGAGAGAGAGACGGATGGGGTTCGAGTCGTATTCAAATGGGTCGGATTCGGGTAATTGGTCGAAATCGAAGGAGGAGAGAGGTGGGAGTGTTGGTGGTGGTGGTGTTGAGGCGGATACTTGGGGAAGGAGGGAGAGTATTGGGGCTGGAGGTGGTGGGAGTGGAAGGCCTAGATTGAATTTGCAGCCTAGGACATTACCTGTTGTGATCAATGACAATGTGACTCCGACGGAGGCGGCGAAAGGGGTGAATTCAGGGCTGAGTTTTACTCCTACCGAGGTGAAGGCGAAAGGGGCGAATCCATTCGGGGAGGCCAGGCCTAGGGAGGAGGTGTTGGCGGAGAAAGGGAAGGATTGGAAGGAAATTGATGAGAAATTGGAATCTGTTAAGATTAATGGTGAGAAGAGTGAAGGATTTGGGAGAAGGGGTTTTGGGCTTGGCAGGTCTGATTCTGGGGATGATGTTAAGAGTTGGAGGAAGCCAGAATCAGCTGATGCTGTTACTTCTCCTCCGGGATCAAGGTTTGATCCTGTTCTTTTCTATTTGTGAATGTATAAACGCTCATTGTTTTTATTTTTTCTTGGTTGTTAATGCTTACAGTATTTAATTATGAAAAAAAAATCTTTGGAAGATTGCATTATGGTAGTACATTGTTGCATAATGCTTGAAAATTGCAACCAATATGATCATTTGGGGGATTGGGATTAAGCTGATGAGATATATGTTAGGGCAATTTTGAATCAATAAGTTTATGGGGTTGCAATATCCTTAGCTTGACATTGTATAAGCCACTTTAGTTGCTGATTTGATAATTTGACATGGGTTATGAGTGTAGAAATCATTGGATACTGTTGCAATATCTATTGTTTGGGACTTTGGGCAATCAAAAACTAGGACTTCAATTTGGATGGATCGTTTGTAAATTGTAATAGTTATGGATAGGCTTCATGTGGCATTGGATTTTGCTTAGGCTGCTATTTTTGGTCCTCATAACTTTAATTCTTGGTGTTGGATAATGTTAGGGATCAGAATTTCACGACTATGACATGAAAGTTTCATGATTTGAAGTTATGGAAAGACGATTATAAGTTGTCAAAAGTTACTATGTGGACATGAGGATGAGGATGAGGATGTTGATGCTATCCATTTTTATGTCTGTGAGTTGGGAAGTATTAGTAAATCTATTAATTTAATATTCCTTTTCATGGACAAAACTGAAGTGCACTAGATCCTTTCTGAAGTATTGGCTGTTGAGAACTTGACATGAATGCTTGTGCTGTAATTATGAGTCCTAATATCATAGCTTCTCATTTCAAAATATAAGTGCATTCACAGATTATTCAATTTAGAACTAGTTATTTTCATTCAAGTCTAGTACTCGTTTTTTGTTTCTTTTTGTTTAAAAGAGGTGGGGGTTGCAAGTATGGGATACTGTTTGGCAGTTTGCAACAGATGTGATAGTGCACTAGATCTTAAGATCTATCTTAGAAATTTTGTGGTGGTTTTTCTCTGTAGTTTGAATCCACAGAAAGTGATCTATTTACTCTTTAGTTTATTGGTCTGTCTACATCTGGATAGTCTGTCTGTGTGTTGGCATTGTATTTGAACTCCCTAAACTTGGATTTTTGATGAATCAATGCAGTTTATTTATGTTAATCAGAATATGTATATGCGTAATTTTTATATAAAGTTCAAGGTATTTCTCTTGTAACAGTTCTAATTGCTCTTGTTTTTCTTCTTGTTGGATATTATACAGTGTTGATACAACAGAGAATAATGCCACCACAGCCGAGAGTACTACTGAGAACGCTTCTGAGAGTGTTGAGAAAGTTTCAGAAGAGAACTGAAGACAGTCAATGATGGAATAGCAGAGTGGAGTGTGGGTTTTTGATCGCTTGAGAATCAATTTTTGATAGTCGTCTTAGATAGGTACATTCTTTAGGGCCTGGAAAACCTGAAAGGTCATAGTGTTTGTGCTGTTTTTTGGGTAGCAGGGTGGTCACCTGAACATTAAGTGTTAATGTTTGTTTTTAACTTATAACTACACTTTCGTTGCTTATGCTTTGGAGTATCTGGCTTTGCAAAAAGATTTTTGTGTAATAGTGAGCTATTGATATAAAAGGGATCCAATAACAGCAGCCTCAGCTGCTGTTGTCGTGTTTATTTAGCTGTAATCCTTTGAAATCTTGTGACTGTTTAACTGTGTTTCTGTCGTGGCATTAGAAACTTGGAGTCCGGTATAAAAATTATGCAAATGCTTTGGAATTCTGTACTTAATCTATGATCGTTAAGCTATAGTTTTTTCTCATTCTTGCTACTTCAAATATTGAGTTTTTGGTTCCTAGTTTGTGCCTAAGCAATGCATGATTGAAAATGAATCTAGCAAGCTACTCACTTACTCAGTGTCTCAGTAGATACCCAAAGTAAAACTTGAAGGAGTTTAGTGGGCTTTTGTGCAGGACGTTTTACTCGGCTAAATTAGTGGGTTGCTCCTGAAAATACCGAACTTTGATCCAACACAACACCACAATTAGTACTACTACCTTCAATTTTTTTTAATTGTAACTTTAGCATATTATTTGAGAGAGAAAATATTTTAAAGTTGCAACTAAAAAAAATCGGAGGTAATATATATATATATATTTTTGCAGCCAGATTAACTTAAACTGTTGTCTTATAAAGCATCATTAGTCACGTCGTCTCTTCTTATGGACTATGGAAAGGTACTCCGTAATTGACTATCAAGACTAAATAATATATGATGCCATATCCATAATTGTTCATGAATATAAGCATTCTAAAAAAGGGAAAACACCCTTCAACAACGCATTAGTGACATGAACTTGAAAAAACTTGCAGCTGCCAACTCTGAACTTTCCATTAGTCTGAGTTGGCCAATTCATGAAATCACGAGATATAATGAGCTAGTATTGATTTTAGACCAATGTGAAAGTTCCAATTCTTTGTTCTGGTTTGTCTTCCATTCATATTGGTATAAAGCATGATCTGATTTTTTTTTAAAAAAACTGAAACTCATTCATGAATGCATCCAACAACGGACAACCTGTAACGGCTAACCAATACGCGCACAAAATAGATGATTAGTCCAGATGGTTGTGTAAAGATTATCAGCATATGAGAACTGTTACTCTGTACCCATAAAGTCCTCTCTTTTTTGTGGAACACATTTAATCAGACTCCTTCCTGCTTTCACAGTCGCCCATTTATGCAGCTCTCAACTGTCCACACTTCTCTAAACTGTCGTTCAGCTATTTCCGCTCTTTTTATTTTATTTACCAAGTACGGAGTATTTATTAGTGACCATTTTGTTATGACGTAGTTTTCCTATTTATTAATGACTAGCTTAGGTATATACTTTCTCCGTTTTCATTTATTTGCAACACTTTCCTAAAAAGGAAAGTTACTTTAGGGAAAACTATACCATATCCCTTATTTAAAGCACATGACCCACTAAATTACACTCCTAACAACCACTCATCCTATTTTAAAGTTTATTATATCATGTAAACCTCGCTTTTCTTAATTACCACACTAAAGGGTTGTTGCATCTAAAAGAAAACGGAGGAAGTAAGTATCTAACAATCCTAACATGCATTTCTTTAAACATTACTATTAATTCATATTTCCCAAGCAAAATTATTCTATGATCAGCTTTTGTTTCTTTATACTTTGAATTCTAGAAAAGTTGGTGCTACGTTCAATTTTATTAAGTAAACCGAGTCAAGATATTTGAGTTTCATAAATTTGATGCATTGATGATATTTGATAAGCATTATTATTACGTCGGTGATGACAAGTAGTTCGATCCCCATTAAAATTTAATGCATATTTCTTTCAACTACAAAGATGGATATTGTTGCTATACTTTGAAGCATGACGACTTAGAAAATCATGTACAGTAAAATATTTAATAGAGTTCTTACACTTCATTTGATGGGTGTCCTCAACTTGATATATATGGAGTACCATTATTAATCAATTAGGAAAACCCTAAACATAATATTAAGAATTACACAATGGTAACTTAGCTTGAATCCAATTGGCTTAAGATAACTACGTACTTTGTACAACTTTATGCAAGTACAATATACAATAACTTTTGATACTATCCAACCTTTATATGCTTATGAACGAACAAATCCAACCTTCATATCCTTAGGAGTTAGGCGTACTCTTGAAAATATATAAATACGAAGTACTTCATATGTGTGTACTGTATGTGTACATGTCTATATATATGACCAAACTTAGGGTATATACTTATAACTTATAGCATCCAAAATTAGCTGTGATTGATTTAATTGACAGTAAAAGAAACATTTGCCAAAAAAACAACATACTACGTACAAATGTAGACTTTTACCATAAGCTAGCCAAATCCAAATGTGAAAGCAGCTAGCTTAGCACCGTTGTATAAATGATAGCTAGCATAGACTAAACTGTAAAATATAAACGTTTGTAGTAACCATTAATTTCAAACAGATCATAAATGTAGACAGTTGAAGGTTGGTGATGCAACTTATTACTAGTGTTATTTATTACTTCATGTGATTTTACTCATATAAAATCATCACTTGATCTCATTCCAACTTCACACTAAATTTCCTCCTAACTTTTTTTCCCTTTTAAATTCATTTTAAGGTTCCATCAAATTATATTCAATTTTCAGGTTGAATTTTATTGATTCATCAATGAACAAGTTATACTTTTTGTTGGTTTTTTCTGTCTTTTTTGCTGTAGTAGATATTCATGGAGTTGAAGGTGGAGCAATAATAACTGGTACTGTTTTCTGTGACCAATGTAAAGATGGCCATGTGTCCATATTTGATTATCCTCTATCCGGTATGTTTCTTCAACTCTTCAATATGTTAGTTTAATTTTTCCCAGATTAAGAATTACGTTGATAGTGTACTTTGAACTATCTGGTTATTATAACGTGACAACTAAATGTGAACAAACGAAGAAATTTTATAAAGTAGCTAAGAATATTACTTTAACATTGTTTAGTAGATTAATATTGTGGTTCTTAATAGGCCAACAATATTTTACTAGTATTGGTTACATGGAAATTGATGTGGGTGCTGCATCCTTTTTCAAGTGTTTGCTAACCAATAAAGCCATTGTTGCTCATTTGGACCCTAAAAAAATATTCATTATCTACTTTCCAAAAATTACATTTTTTTTTTTCCAAAATGTCTTGGAGGTATGCAGTTTCAAAGCATTAAAATAGATGTTTTCTGTATTCCCATTCCAAAGGAAATACTTATAATAAATGACTTTTTTGTTATTGTTGAAAAAGAAAACCATTTTCATCCTTGTTCTTTATTCGTGTAGTCATTGTTTTGATCAATGTCAAATAACTTTGTCCTTGCTTTATTTAACTATTAAATCAGTTGTTCAAAGAAGGCAAAAAATCACTTTTGATAATCAACATAAAATCGGTAAAATTCTATTATTAAAAAAAAAAAAAAAAAAAAAGGTTTGTTCATCAAAAAATCAATTTTAAATTTCCAAATGAAGAAAGTTTATAACAATAAAACTAGTCTTAATCGGTAAAAATTAGTGACTACGTACGACAAAAATAGAACTTTGTAGGACTGTCTTGACTCTTGAGCCAACAAAAAAAAAATGTTACTCCGTATAAGCACAACCTAGTACAAGTACAAAACTTAAAAGCAATTTTTATTAGGTAGATAAATACGAAGTATTCCGTATTAATGTATGAACCTACTACCACCGTTAACTATTATGTGCAAAAAAGGGGTATTATTTGTGAGACATAAAATATTCCTTTGTTGCACATAATAATTAACGGATGTAGTATTATATTTACATTTAATAAATACTTGATTTAAATTGAGGGATCTAATTCAGTGAAAAATTTGAATGTATTTGCAGATACGAATGTGGCAATGGTATGTACAGGGAGTAATGGGCAGACAGTAGTTGGACAAGAGACCACAAACATGATGGGCAGCTATACCATAAGTTTTGGGGGTTCACCTGATTTAAGCAGCTGTTTTGTTCAGATCACTCCTAAAAATGGGCCTGACCCAAATAATAGATGTGGGGCTTCTATAGGCCCACCCAAATCTTTAAGGCTAATGTTTAGCATGTTTGATATGAAAATGTATTCTGTTGATCCCTTGATTTCTCAACCTGCTCAACCTCTGTCTTATTGTTCTACTTCTTCACCCTCATCATCACCTCCTAATACTACTCCTATCTCTTTACCACCACCTACGACTTCGATTCCTCCACCCATCACCCCGGTCACTCCCTCGGTCCCTCCTAAAGCTCCTACGACTCCCGGCTTTAAGCTCCCTCCTATGTTTCACATGCCATCATCGCCTTTCACACAAAATTCGGCGTGCTCCAATGAGTAAGTAAAGTTGTGTTTTTTTGGTGTTAAATTATTTTTTAAGGTAGATTAACTCATTAAATCACCTCACTTATAGGTCATCTAACTTCATACCGTTTCCTTAAAAAGGCTTATCTAATCACATGCTCTTTTAAAGTACTATTTGTGTCACTCTCTCAATGGAATTTCACTTTCATATCTTAAATTCTTATAGTCTAGTGCATGAAAATGTCAACTATTTTGGAACAATTAGGTGATGGAATAATTAAAAGCTAGGTAACTTTATTTTAAGGGAATGTAAAAATTAGAATGCCTATGAGATTTTTTAAAACAAAATTCATGGGACTATTATGAAAATTTTGTAGCATGTTCAATTCATTGTCACATTTTGTAAGTAGTAATTATTTTGATAGTTTCCTTTGACATTAACTCCCGTAAAAGCTTTTTGCTATTTAGGAAATACTAGACGTTGGACCACGACTTGTTTTAAACCCACTAAATAGATTATTAAGGCCGAATAAATATGGGAGTACATATCACAACTTAGTACCATAAAATCTTAAACCCTTTTCGTACTTTCATGTAAACTACTTCATTCATCCATTAAAAAAAAAAAAAAAAAAGTACCTACAACATTTTTTTGTAGTATGAGTAACATATAAATTATACAAGTATAAAATATAATTTAGCATAAGCAAAATAAAGTACAAAGGATACAACTATAAGAAGAAAAAAAATGTTATTTCATATTTGACAACTAAATAAAACGTAACAATTACTTGCAAAAAGAGAAAGTTCACAGTATTTTATGGTACTAAGTTAAAATTCGTACGTGAAATAAAAACTAATCAAATGTGATGAATGGAGCAGATATTGGATGAAGCCAGAATACAAATGCTACTGGAAATTAGTGAACCCTGAAATGCCAGTGGCTCTAGTATTCGGACCCTTAGCAGCCCAAAAATATGGAAATGACTTAACATTGTGGTCAGGACTTAAAGGCAAAGGTGACCCTTACAAGACCCTCTTAAGGGAAACTGTCACTGCACTTCTCAACTCCTACAACAGCTTCCATTTCCCTTACAACGCGATTCAAGTGCTCCATAACTTCAACACCGCGATGACTGGCTCTACTCGTAGTGTTCTTCTCACTGCCTTGAGGTTCAAGAGGGCTAATTCTGGTTATGGTCGTGTTCCTTGCAAATTTCAAGCTTGCAAATAATTTACTAGCCTAGCTATTAATCCGTATTTATGTATAAGTTTTAATATATTACGAATTTATATAATAGATTATATATCATGTAGAGATTTATTTTGGAAGGTACGTATACAATCAGTTGTTAGTTGGTTGTATACTTGTATGTGCATGATTATATGGTACGGAGCTGATACTAATTTAAGATATATAGTATGCTTTGTTTTGAATTGACGTAATTTATTGTTTTACTTCTTCTCAACAATGTTGTGAATCATATTGTTACTCCCCAAACAGCAAATTTCTATCAAGATATATATACAATACAAGTATATAACACAACACATTGGCTGGCTAGCTACTCCATTACTCGTGCCCTTCAAAGTGTAACACATGTTAGTCATCATTATTTTCAAATTAATTTAATGTTCAAAGACTTGAAAAAAAGTTGATGAATTGCCTACGATTGTAAGTTTAGTCAGCACCTCCAACTCCCAAATTAAAATAAATCAAGTTTACATTATATTGTATATCAAGATCAAGTATTATAGATAAATGTATAATATATTTTAAGGTAAGATCGAAGAAGATGGCTCACTTGAGATGGAAGATAAGGGAATCTCTCAAGTGAGTTCCATAAACTTTGATCCTAGACCTTAGTTTAGCTTAGGGATACAAGGTGGGAAGCGATGCTACTAATTTACCACCTCAACCTCACTTAATATAAAAAGAAATACGTACCGAAATATTTACATAATAATCTAGCTGATAATTTACATTTGTATTCCAGAATATAGCTATAGATTAATATGGATAATTAAGGTATATGGACCCAGTTTAACAATATACTAACCAGTAAATTAAATGTGGGCCAGTTCCAGATAATAAGAATTATTACATAATGAAGCCAATTTGAACACGAGGTATAAAATCAAAGATACAAGTATAATAAAATAATAGAATCTTTGAATAGAGCGTAGCATAGTTGAGATGAGTTAGACATGATTACAGATTAGAGAGGAAAGAAAAAGGAAGAAGATACATACCCTACGTGTTTGAATAGGAAGGTTGTACTTGTACTTTAATAAGGCTTACATACGTAGCTGGTATAATTATTGTCGGTCGTACATACTCATTATATATCGTATGTATGAATCTTATGACTCGTATCAGCCGAATGAAGAATATTGTGTTACATTTTTTTGTTATAAACTAATATACCTGTATAGTATGTACACCCTCTTTATTCCCACGCATTTGTTATTTACACGCTTCTCATTTCCATCTTCAACAGCACCGATGATGTGATGAAGCTAGATAATTAATATCATGGACTGAAGAATGAGTCATAAACATCGAGAGCTCTTACGCCGTGTCATTATATCATACTCTCTCTGTCTCAAAATGTTAAGTTTGTGATAGCTCTTTACTATATTATTATGTAATTGAAAACACTGCTAGCATATAATTTAGAATTTTTCCCGTCAAAAAAGTAAATAAATAAATAAATTAAAAAAAAATCTAGAATCTTGGTTTTATTATACGTGGCCAAGCATATGTATATATATGCTACCCTACCTTGATTAAACACTTGTTACTGAAACACAATAATTATTGTATACAATGTGGTGTTTATCATTAGTCTTAAAGGTTGCATTTGTTGAAACATAATCAATAGTAAATCATCAACCTCTTGCAATTTATTAAATGCTTAGTTTCATACTATTATACAATTAATTTTCTAATATTATAGGGAGAATGATCATGCTTATTACTGTGTTTGCATCCATACATCCTTATTACAAATTTCAAATTTAAATAACTATCATTCAAACCTTTTTTTTTTTTTTTTTATTTGTTGATAGAGAAAGACAGAAAAAGTTACAATTGAGCTCAAGGCAATGATGTTGATAGCCAGTTACTCTTCTTTTTATTGACAGAAAATATGTTGTAAATAAATCTTTAATCTTTACCAAGCTGGTCAACCAATAATCTCAACGGGATAGTAAAACTTACTAAAAGCCTGATTGATTCAATGATTTGGTATATGTTTATTTCAAAGCAATCTTTTGTTGATATGAGTGACTCCTTTGCTTATTTCAAGGCATGTAAAAGTCATTATTAGCACTCTTTACCTGATGAGCTCATCTCTTCAAAAATCAATTTGTTTTTCTATAATTTTTATTTTTCTCAAAAAAATAAAATAAAAATGATTTTGTGGATTTATTAAAATTACATATAAGCATACTATTTACACCCTTAATCAAAAGTTATTCTCTCTTAGATTAAGAATATGTATAAGTCTTGTGATATAGTTTTCCCTCCTTTTATTTTACTCTATATATTAATTTATAGGTTAGGTGACGACATTTGAATATAATCTTATTGTCGTCTTTTAACATAACAAAACCTAAAACTCATTATTCCGTAATAGGGAAGCCTCTTGCTTGCCATGTTGCGCCTCTACCAATTATGTTCATGTCATGTTGCATGCTAATTGCCACCAATAAATCAAACCAGCTTATAAATCACTATACAAGTCTATAACCTAGTACACTTATAGGTGCCACCACAACCGCCATAGCAACAAGTAACAAGATCAAGCGTTCAAGCACTTTCATTTCTACCATGAAAAAAAAATATATAAAGAGAACACTTTAGCTAAGAACAACAAACCTAGGGCAGAGAGATTGAGATCAAATCTTCTCTAAAGAAAGCTGCACTTCTCAAACAAGACAACATACCACAACCCTAGATTTATCAACAAATATTTTAATTAATATCAAAGATAATGTGATCACCAAATAAAATAAACATTTTTATCAACTTCTTTGCCACTCTATCATAACATAACATAGTTCATTAAACTTTGATATTATTATAAAATGTACGTACCATATGTTTGTGATTTACTATAAGGTGATCAATCTGATCATCATATTAGAATATAGTTAATTAAATTAATTAATAAAGATTATCCTAGAATTGCGTGAAATACTGTAGAGAATAGGACGGTTGAGTGGGGCACACAAAATGACTTTTAAAGGGGCCCACATGATTGATGTTAGTATTAGAGCAGACAAAAGCAGGGAACCTTCTTTTATCCTTCCTGTGGGTTTTCACACCCAATACTACCCCTCTCTATTTCTTTCTCTCTCTAAAATTAGAATCTAAAAAAGCCAAAGTAATAAACTTGGGCTGGCATATCATGCTAGTTATTTAGCTTAGCTTAACTCTAATTTTGGCCTTAAAAGTATGTATTATTTACTTAATTAAATATTACTCAACCTTAGCTAGTTAATCTTAATCCTTACACAATTATATTCACATTTATCATTTGGTAATATTATTAATTTTTGCCATGCCATGCTCCCCTAACCCCACAACATGAAAGAATTAACTTTATCCTTTAATGAAGATTATTAAATTGTTTAAGAGATCTAATAAGGCCTATATAACTCCTTTTAATTTTTTTTTTTTAAATATTTTATTATTATTACTCATCTTAAAAGAGTGTTCTTAACATTCCCAATGTAATAGTTGTCCTCATCATCACAAATTAGTTATTAACATGAGGGTATGGAAATGAATTGAAAACGATTATATTTTTTATAAGTAGATTTTATGATATACTCCATATATAAATTTGCAAGACACTATTTATTATTTAGCTTCATTTTTATTTTGTCTATAATTTTTAACATTTATAACGATTAAAGATTTATATTTGTTAATGTACAATATCAATTTTTATAATTAATTTTCCGTTGATAAAATTAATGAAATTATAAATTTATATTTCCAAATTAATATATAAATCTACACTAATCCAATTATATTTCACATAATACTTTGTAGCAAACTTATGTTTATATTTAGTTAGGCAATAGCTCATAATTAGTGTAAAATTAAAGTAATTGTTACGAAAATTATTAAATAGAGAAGGAATGAAGTTAACAAGTTTTGTATTTTCTTATTTTATGAACTCATAAAATGCATGAAATAATATTTTAATGAATTCTAGAACGAGTATAATGAAAGTAAAACTATTCGTTCAAAAAGTAGTTTTCCAAATGTGGTGCTTGAACGGGAGATTGACTGCTTGTGGGACATAGAGCTTACTAATCATTTTGAATTTACACGTAATAGTCGTTGATTGCTTTATTATTCCAATATAATTATAGCCTAATACAAGAATTGAATTGCCCCACATCATATATCTACAGTACGTACTTGACAATAGCACGACTTGTCCTTTCCCAAAGTGCAAATATATGTTGAATTGTTGATATATATGGACTATATATATATATATGTGGCAAATGGTACGCGTTAGTCCATTTTACGGAGTAGAATGTGGCAAATGGTACAAGTAGTTGATTATCCAAAAACAAAAACAATTGAATAGATGCTAAAGAATTTAGAAAAATTAGTAATAATGAGAAAAAATTATAAGATAGGGTGGAAATTGGATTTGTAGGCTATATTTCAACATTGTCAAATTTGATCTTTATTGTACGTATTGTGTTTGAGCTAGCTAGGCCGGGTTTTAAATGTTGAAATCATAATTGAGTACGTCTGATTAATACCAGGCCAAATATCTCACTCGATATAAGGAGCTTTACTATAATTTAATTATTATATATATATGTATGATGCATGCAATGTAACTACGTGTAAGGTTCATGCACCTTACCCATCTACATACATGTACAAATAACACGCGCCATAAAAAATGATCGATACTTGTTGTGAACTTGTGATATAGTAGTACTTGTGAAATGCTTCGGATAATGTAAATGCTAATATTTTTTTTGGGTTAAAACAAAGGCTAATAACTATCCTCTCCATTGTTGTATTTAAACTAGTAGACATTCTAGCTCTGTGCTGACTATTGTTGTGCACAATTAATGATGGAGTTTATATTCATTAATTGATTCTAGCCTAGCTTCGAGTCTTATTAGTGGATCGAGAATAGAAAATTTGGATGTACATATACCCGGGTTTAAATTTCTTACTCTTCTAGTCATTAACCGGAGCCTAATTAACTAGTGAGAGATTTTGACCAGGTACAATAGGGCTTTCTCCTTCCCTAAAATAAAAATAAATTTAAAAAATAACCCTAGTAAAAAAATAGTGTTATTAATTTTAATGGATTGTTCACTACATACATATATTTTACATAATAACTTTCAATTTACAATATCCCATACTATCACAAATAATACTATT